AACTCTGCATTTATTCTGAAGTAACTTTTCTATATGGAATTGTCCATGTTGATATCCATGATTGATTTTCAGTCTTAATTGTTATCTGTTTACTTCTTGTTGTTCTTCTTGATAATATTGTTCAGAAAAGGCTCTAGATACTAATTTTCTATTAATACTTGTTTCATTTATCCTTTGGATCCATCACAGTATTCTTAAACCTATTTAATAGGTCCAAAGCTACTGTGGTTCTCATGTTCACTGGATGCTTAAATTGAAAATTTAGGCATTTATCAGAATGAGTAGATTTTCTCTAAATTCTAATTTTAAATTCTCCTTCAAAGATGTTCTTTGAATAAGACAGTTTAAGAAATTCAGAATTCCTGCAATCGATTCGGTTTCATTTGTAAATTTTATGAAGTTTGATATCAAGTTTGAATGTTGCAGAAACCTTTCAAGTTCTGTTTTCCGATGATCACAAAGGTATCATTTAGATATCTATACCAAAGTTTAGGTTAATAATCAAACTTCTTCAAAGCTCTTTCTTCGAATGCTTTTATACATTGTGACTAAACATTTGATACACTTTTTCTGTTCGTCAGATTTATACCTGACATTGACAAGATCGGTCATCGCACAGTTGTACTAGATTTTATAGTGTCTGCTCACTCGACGATATGTGCTTGCTAACGGTAACCCAGTTATTAAAGTATGCGTCAAGTTGGCGCTTCATTCGAAGCCAACAGCAGAAATTAACGAATGAGAGCAAAAACAACTGAATAAAGAACAACTTCTATACCCACTGATAGTTATAGGATCGTTCTTAGAATTGCTGTCGGAGCCAGTTAGCGTACTGTAGTGTAAACATGGAGATTTTCGTCAAAGCATCCATAGTTCACACACACCTTTCCATATTCTGGCTTTACGTAACGAATTCCTATCGACAAAGTAATTGTTACTTGTTGCTCTCCTTGTTTTGATTCCAACCTCACAAATACCCACCTTACATTTCAGGAGTGAAAGACAACCTCGTGGTAGGGCCAGGTTTAATAACCGATCAGTTCAGTGGTGGGTATAACGTTACTTGTTATAATATAAAACATCTAATTTATTAAAGCAACTGGTCCCTTTGATAAATTTAAACAGCGTAATTGGCTAAAATCGGAGATGTTAAGGAGGCTATAACAATGCCACTAGTTCGACTGTATAACTTAACCCTAAAAGTAATCTATATTGATTCCAAACATAATTTTAAGGATTTTATAATATCTTTTGTTGATAATGCACATTCATTTAGTAATACTTGATCGTTATCAAGTAAACATTTTACAATACCAAGTGTCTCATGTATATGAATGCCGGTAAAAAGGGAAATTATGTTAAAACTTGACATAATTTCATCTTCTCTTATCGTGTTATCCATTAGTTTATTTTTGAATTCTTCGGAGTTTCTAGTGCTTGAAGTAATATCAAACTGAAATGCTTTCAATTGATTTTGATAGACTGAATTAGTAAAGTCAACAATTGGTCTAAGCGGTATGTCTGCTTTATGTATTTTTCGTCTACCACAGAATTTCACCAAAGTAATAATGATAATAATCTTTACTCCTAGACTAACAGGATATGGTTATTACTTTCAGTAATGAAAATATTTGGTGATCTATTTGGCTACCTATAATTTATCACAAGTAGTGGCTGTCACCTGATTAAAATAAAGATTTTACATCATGTGCAGATGACGTATGTACACTAAATAACATGCTGAGTTTTTGAGTTCGTGTTCATTCATAGGTGTAGTTTCATAAGCCGAAATTAAAAACGTACAGGGTTGAGAACAACAGACTTCAAAGAATGGTGGCAGGTCTTTCACTGGTCAGCCTTCTTTCAACCGTACCCCGAGGTTGGCGGTGGAATGTGTAGCATATGTCCAAGTCACGAGGGTTCAAGTCGACGAACTGTCAGGTTTCGCTGCTTTTAACATCGTTTTAGGTTCGACACAGCTTTCTCAATTTCGCAGACAGTTGAGAGACCAATATCTACATCCACTTCACAAGCAAGCTAGATGACAAGCAATTAAAGCCTTGATGTGGACCAGTTGAACTATACTTCACAGTATTCCACCCAACGTTCTAGTCCCTTGTCGTGGAGGGTCATCGGTACCCCATCCATTTCAGTGATGCTTTCACTAACACTCGTTTGCTTCCACCCGGTATACATGTTCAGATAGATACTTAGCTATCTCCTCCTTAAACATGTAAGTCACGCTCTCATCTTCCAATCGAGCACGCACAGACTTCGTTGCCACCTGCTTCTTTTGACCAGTTATGCGCAGACATACATACGCAGGCCTGTACCAACGCGCAATCACGGTCCAAAAAAATACTGCAGGATGAGGGGTGTTCCCCCCCCCCCCCAACTATGACTTGTAGCAATGTGATCCTTCTGTGTCCATCGATAGTTTGATGTCGCTGGACGCCTTATACAACAGTGGCGGTATCTTTCCTTATGACTGAAGTTATTGGTGGCTAGGAACAAGTGGTCATCGGAGCGAAACTGTAACAGACGACCACCATCGTCAGTTCGTTCGTCCCGTACCCCCAAGATACCTTTCCAATTGAATCCGCCTCCCTACTTGAGAGTTAGAGTCACTTGTGGGTGCGTATATGGAGATTACGAATAGGCATCGCCTAGTCTTACAATACTTCCTAGTCCTAACAGATCCATCCAGTCGGACAGCACAGACAACTATTGACTGATATCCAATCAAGCGCACTTTCTTCCCTAGAACTCAATACCATGCCTGTATCTGCGACAGAAAGATTATCGGACTCCGGATACTCTTACGGTGAATTTTGGAGATTCACTGCTTTGGCCAGGTGAAGTCAACCGAATAACTCCACTCGGGTCCTGTGAATGTGTCTCAGAGACACAGCACATATTCATGGCTAGAAATCCCAGTCTTGGCCAACAATGCTTGCTGTCCGGCTTGGTAGAGTTCGGAACATGAAAGCCGCTAAGTGAAATCGATGGTGGGTGGGGTCTTAGGAGACTAGAAACGAGGTTCGAATGGCTTTGATCGTTGACTGGATCTTGTGTACTACTGGTTAACATTTCCTAGGTGCCTACACCACGTAAACTGGAGATTTATATGACAGCAGTCGTTAGGATACCTCTTTGGAGCCAATCACACAGTCTTTTGCAGATTGTTTTGAGATTCGGTTGCTCTAACGTTGAATAGAGAAAACCTATATCTCCAGCACTAGTCTGTGGAAGAGGGAGGGATGTGCTGGAACTAGCTGCTGTTCATGTTAGCAGCAAAAATTGCCAGACTGATACTATGATAACATGTAGTATGTAACCTATTGTACTGATTGTGCTTCACAATGCAGATAGCATTTGGAAAGGGCTTCTGCCGTTCCTTGCGAATAGGGTAGAATATACACAACAAAGAATATTCTGGAACACACTGATGGGGCTTTGCTGATTTTACGAGATAAAGAAGCTGCATTCGTGGTATATCACGGTACAACTTTCATACATTAGGACGGAAAGGGAATAAAGATGAATCTCTAACAGGTAACTAAGCTTCTTTCTTGACTTGCTTTGAGAAAACTAGTTCAAGAGTTAGATTAGTGTGAGCATATCCTGCTACAAGTTGTACTTGCTCAATGTAGCTAAAGGAGGTAAACACTCAACTGCTAGTGAGCATTGACAAGCGGTTGTTAACATCACCCAGCTAGTGCTGAAGCATTGTTTCGGTGATGGAACGCTCATCTACATTCGTATGATGCATGCATAGAAGAACAAGCCAGGCTCTGGTACCGTTTTGTAGATAGAATCCCAAGTCAGTGGGTGATTGCAGAGAGCTGAGTTACTACACGAAGTCATACACCCAACTATTTGACCCGGGAATTATTTTGTAATCCAACTAATTACTAAACATAATCGCAACCTGAATGGTCATTTGCGTTTGAACTTCTTTGTTGTTGACTATTAGAAATCGGTAAACAAGCCATGGAAAACATACTAAAGCAGTTTTAAGAAAATACTATAAATATCACAGGTGGTTTTCGCAGTCATGTGTTAACAAGCTATGGGGTACCCCTATCCGATAACAATGGAACTGTGACCAGTTTACAGTGGTGGATGTCGTAAAAGTTGGACGTGCAGTAGAGGGGAACTATGGTTGTCTACTCAAATGTTTTAGTTCTAGACCAGTGGATGCCAACACTATTTTTAATCGCTGTACGTAGAGGTTGTCCACAACATCTATACAGTAAGAATCACAGTCATTTTGGAGGTGCTGAAGAGGAGCTGGATGCATGGTACCAAGATAAGATGGATAAGAACCTTACAACAAGTTAAAGTGACTGGGTATTCGACCCCACCCCGAGTCAGTTACAGAGCAATGAATCATTTAATCCCTATGATATGAACCTTATCATCAAATACAGCAGAACACAACCACGGGATTTTTAAAACCTAGCCAGCCTATTATAAAATGACTGAAACTTTATCTCCCAACACTGATCAACATCACGGTGACGAAAGTAGAGAATGAAAGCTGGACCACAGAAATGAAAGTAAGCATAGGAGAGAATAGTGAGTAGGCTGAAAATCCTCTAGACTTGAAAGACACTATGTATATGCACCACTGTGTTTGATTCTCAGACATCTTTCTAACGGTCACCAATCATTTATTCTTACCGCTTAGAGTTGTCAAGGAATCTACAATCAGAGATTTTAAGAGACTGGACCTTTCAGTCCGAACAGTCACCCTAAACTTCTTACCACACGTTCTAAACACCTACATTGATAATAATTAATGACCTAATCACTTGGACAACCACTTCTACTTGGGACTCCGAGCCTAGACCACACATTGTTTGCATAACAATTCTACAATAAACCAACAACGCTACAAAGTAGTTTAACACCGGAAAACCACTAGCGTCCTGCTTATTCAGGACACCAGCTAATCAACTGTAGCATAAAGTTAAAAAAGAAGACGTAGACATTTTGGCAGAAATTTATGCACTTGTTTCATTACAGAATAAAAAGAAACATAACAATGGATACAGTAAAGAACATGTGAGTAGAAAGCACATGCAAACTGATTTACTGCTACTACAACTACTACTTGAAAGATTTTGAAGTGTTGGAATTCCCGAGGCATAGCTTTTTCACGGGAACACCTAAGGGTTCTATTCTTTCCGGCTTCACAGGATCTTCTTGTACACCATCGTTTTGTGCTTTACTGGGGATGGAGTCAGTGCTACTTACAGTCATATTGGCAGATCGTTTCCTTACCATTCCTTCTCCTAATGAACTTTCTTTTTCGGCACAATCTTCTGTTTGCAAGACATTCTCATTATTCTGTCCTTGTTTTTTATTATCGGTCTGTAAATCATCTGAATTTTGTAATGGATACAACGGTTGCACACCAAGAACCTGCATAAGAAAAAGGTTTAAAGAGGAGAAAATTAACTTTTTGATCACCATCCACCGGATACAGGAATTCAGTCTCTAGTGGAAATATAATTCCTGAATCCTGACGTTCCTATGAGAAGTTGCGACCGGTGGTGCAAACTTCGTGGACGTGAGGGCAAATACTCAACCAGGACATTGAGTGATGGTTGCGCTATGTCGTGAACTGAAAGAAGTAGGAAATATGGACCACTGGATTCCAACCCAGTGGCTTGATGGTAACGTGCTGGCCACGGGACTTGAAAGTCCAGGGTTCGGTCCCTGGCATGGCCATGAGTGCTCAGTATTGAGGAGCGCCATACTAGGACAAAACAGCCGCTGTCCAGTCCTCCCAGGTTTCCAATGTTCCTCCAATTGATGTCAGTCCATGATAACCTTGGAATAAATAAATCCCCACAAACCCTCAAATGGAAATAGAATTATTATATCAATGATGAGCACCGGCTAGCAGTGGAATATTATATGCAGCATTGAAGAGACTATGCCCGTTGCACAAGAAGTGACTCGGTGACCTATTGGGTAACACTCTTGAACTCGAAGCGACGGTTTCGGGTTTAAGTCGTAGAGGAAACAACATCGGTCCCTGGGAGGCGGATGTGCATCCAGCTGATGATATTCAAGTACGGCAAACTGCGCTTCCTGAACTCCGATCCGAAATACGAAGGTCATGTTTACGCTTAACACCTAACCATACGGTTGTTATTTAACTCACTGCATCAACCCTGGTAACACGCTTCCACAATAATTGCCAAGTTTGTGGTACGTATAACAGTTTTGTCAGCACATAACGACGGAAGTGAACCCTTACTTGGCTGTGGTTGCAGTGATGTCCATCATTACAAATCAGAAATCAGGCAAATCATAATGAAAAATAATCTGTGCCATACGCGTCAAGAGTAAAAACCGATCGAGCATCGCGATCGCTGGCATCCACGTGTGATCATGAACAGATTTGTGTTTGAATTGCATAGCGCTAATATACTAACCTTTGGTTGATTAAATCAAGGATTTCAATGAAAACGGTGAATGATATTCCAGAGAAAAATTTAAAAGCTACAAAATACACTAAAATACCTTGTCATATACACATAGAGAAAGTTATTCATGAAACAGCAGTGACACGCATAAACAATTCAAGGCATAACGAAATCAAGAAGATAACAAAATGCAGCATTCAGTAACCATGTGTATTTTCATGCAGTAAGTAAGCAATGAGTCGCGTGTATGAGGGGGTCTAATGTGATACTACTAGGATGTCCTTACCTCGGTAGGTAGGTCGTATCTGTTACTGTATTTTGGCACTTACTAATTTGCGTCATCTCTGGTGCCGAATGGCAATATATCCAACTATCTATCAGAGAACGAGTACACTTAGCTGTAGTTCATTCTGTCCTGTCGTGACATGGCTGTTCACGGTAGTAGACATGAAGCAGTTATCCTTGTAGCATTGCACGCGATTAGTGAGCAATGTTGAGGTTAGGCGAAGAATACTAGGCAAGACACAAAAGTCCATTGTTGAGGTTACGAAGCTTAATCAAGTGACATGGTTTGCACATGTACTACGCATGTCGAGCAACAGTCTATCTTAAAGTGCCATGCTACGCGACATTGGATTAGATTAGAAGAGGGTTCATGGTGGCCAGAACGAGAAACTGCACCAGTCGATGAAGTGTGAATCATGTAGGGAAATGCAGACTACCTGGTTGGGCCCACGAAACAATAGGAATCAGTGGTTGAGGATTCTTTGTGAGAAATGGCTGAACACCAATCGGTCACAATGACGCAGATGTACTCACTCTTTACGCCTTAGAAAGTTTTAATATTTGAACTAGCCGTCATCTTCAGACTGTTTATTCTCCCAGACAACTATCTATCAGTCTTTTTTCATCCACCTGTTTTTTGTGTACTACTATGAAGCGTGGCAACTTGAGCCGAGCAACTGTGTGCAGATGGTTCTACATTGCGTTTGTCAGTCAGTCTACATTAAATATCGCATTTTTTTAATTTTATGTTGTGCACATCTATAATCGTATCCATTGATCCACTTTTATTACTTAGTACTTACTGTCTAACACCAGTGATCCCTTGGTCAGTGAGGTTTCCAAACTGTGACTGAAAGTCAACTGTCTAAAACAATGAGACATTATCCATATTCAAGGTATATAATGTGCCAGAAACTGATCAAACTGTTGAATAGTCGTCTCACAGGGATTATGATCGCAGCAGAATACAGAATAATAACAACACTCACCTTATATAGTTGCTTGAAGGCAATCTGTCGGACAATGAGTTGAGCAGAAACAGTTATCTTCTCACAGACTTCTTTGAAATCCCATTTCCAATGGTTAAATGAAACGGCTTTCTGCACGCTTCAGGTACATTTTCATTACTAGATAAATCTATGTATTTAACTGAATCCGGAGATTGTTTGGTAACGGTGGTTATGTATCCACAAGCCATTGACTCGAAAAATCTACGCAGCAGTTTGGACGGTTGGAATAAATCAATGACCACAGGTGTGTGTCTTGGTGAGCCGCTGAAATGAGGCGAAGGATTAAGCCATCCCACTGGAGGTGGACCACCACCACCGCTACCAGGACAAGGAGCGAACGGCCCAGAACGAGTGAGCATATTGTATTCAAGCGATAATAAGTAATCAAGGTGCACCTCAACATCCTAAGCGGGTGTAGAAAAGAAAATGTGCTTAAGTGCCAACGGAGATAGAAAAAAACACGTCTATACGACAAAATGAATACCATGGATGTGACACAGTAATACAACTCCGAAAAATTAGACATTTTCGCTTTTTGGATTGATATATACACACATAGATTGAACTTTTACCAAAGATGGCTGCGAAACATGTTGAAGTTATGCAGTGCGAAAGCGTTTACAGTTTTGAATTATTTCTAAACGTGTATTTGTGAAAAGAAATTCTGTATAATTACTTGAAGGCATACACAGGTCAAATAAACTACAGACAACTTACAAATTCATTCAATTCGATCCAGTAGTCGTTCGATTGGATGAAATCACGTAGAATACGACTGATCAGGATAATAGGACCTCTGCTGGAGATTTGCTGTAGTGTAAGAAAAGATGTGATGTGTATACACGGAATAAATATAAGAGTGGAAAATGCCTTCACTAGCAAAGTAAAAACACTGTGATCAACCTTCGAATGATATTTAATCCAAACGATAAAGACGTTTGGATACAAGTAAACATTTGAACCAATGAGTGTCTGGCCAGAAACCCGTGCAACCTATCGACATATGGGCAACTAGGTGAGTGAAATCAGCCAAGAACACAAATATGGTACAGCAGGGGCACCAAATAATATAACAACGTTAAGAAGACATAAAGTAATGGGAAGTGGATATGTAAGAAAAGAAAAAACAACAGAAATAGCATGATTAGAAGGGTGGTTCAATAAGATGCATTCCAAACATAACATTAGTCAATTTTTAGCAGCAGAAGATTGGAGAAAGCTACAGAATCACCACCACTGGTTTCGATTCTCAGCCACATCTGATAACACCTCAACCCACTGAATTGCGTGGTCTCTCCAACCTCAGGCACGGAGTAGTGATGGACTAATAGATGCTAAACCGATACAACTATCCTTCATACCACGGCGCCGCGTCATACACGGACCACCCCTCCGCTTCTTCCATCCAGTCCCAGGGTTAACGAACAGTGAACGGTATGAAAGCCGTTGGGATGATATGAGTAACACACATCCAAACCAATGAAGCGGGTATTTCTAGATGACTACTTGTTGAGTGACAATCTACAACATGCTCGAACACACTCTGTTGTACCTAAAAATTACTTGCACGGTGTTGCCGCCACCAGCTACCACCAATTGTACGGAGACAGCAAAGTTGTGGTACACATCCTCAGTTAGGAAAGGCCAGGTCTCACCAGTGCATAATTCTGGGCACTTAAGCGTTGTAAATCTGACCTTTCACGGTCAGACTAACGTCGCGATGGCGTCAAACGTGTCCCAGATTGATGTATGCTACCCTGGCTTTTGATATGCTGTTGGAAATTTCATCACATACACACAACTACCTAGATATAGGAACAACTTTTCGACTACTTCCAACGGCTCAATACCAAGGGTGAGTGCAGAAAGAGGCTCCTGTCAATCTTGCAAAATTACTTTGCACTTCAATGGTGCAAAGCACATAACATATTAACGCACACTAGGTTGTTGTGGTACAGTTGAAAACAACCTATCTCAAACCGGAATGTGGAGTTTCGCACAAAAGTCGACCACCTCAAGTTGCCACACTTCCCAGTACCACAGAAAGGTGTATGAGAGAGGAAAGGGAATTTAAAACTGAAGGTTAATGCGAAAATTCAGGCCTCAGAAGAAAACAAAATCAACAAAACACAGTAGTTTAAACTAATCACTTACTTGAAACCATGATGTCTGATCCACTGAATCCAGAGATTTAATGCATAATTCTTTTGGGATCTGACGACTATTTGTGATCAAGCGTTCTATGGTAGGCAGGTTTTCTTGAAATGAAGGAAAAACAGATTATTATAAAGAATACACATTAAACCACTACCATCTTGTCAAATTGGATCATGCAGCACTTTACTAGGTTTCAGAGCCTATAACACAGAAATTCTACTGAATCCATCAGATACTTCTCCTTCCTGAATGGATTCCTACTATTCAACATGCTCTAGTGTACACATAAAGCTTAGAGTTACATTCGACAAGTAAACTTAGTCTAGATTTGCAGTTGTTGTGAACACTTACTCACTAACAATCAAGCACAGCTGGATTTTAGAACTGTTATTCTATTGGAAATTGCCAACGAACAGCGATATTTAAACTGGTTAATTCTCAACAACTTTTGAATGATACACAGTTAACTCTGAGTAGCCAATAACATAACGTAGTTAGCAGCACAAAAGTGTGACACAATCAGTGGCAGACATTTGGATGATCATTGTTTCAAGCTCTCTTTTGATGGCTTCCTAACACTTTCAACTGCTTCATCCTCCATCTTAATTACAATCTCGCTCGAGGTGTTGATATGAGATGTGGCAGCTCGGACCTTTAGGCAGTAATGCCAGGTCCTACGTTGATACTGTCTGGATGTCTAGATTACCTTCTCATCATCAAGATTATGAAAGCAAGTATAAACCTTCAGGTAAGTCCTAAACGTTCAACGATTGTGTTCGACTCTTACAATCCCCATCTGACAAGAAAATTTACCAGGCTTGTTTGGTATCTGCAAACTTACGCCATGTCGACTATTCACTAACTACTGACCCGGAATTGCCTGTTCTATCATAAGGAAATAGGACTAGAACGCTGAAAAAAAGATGACAGTAAGACACTATAGGTTTCTGATCACAGGTGCCATAGAAGCATTGTTCACATCTAGTGGAAGTGTCATGTGAGCAATCTCTTGGTTGGGAAGAGGATACTTGGCAAGAAAGGCGAGTGAGGTTGTGAAGTGTCATCGATTACAGTTGATTCGGACAAATGTTGCGCATATCAAATAACCGTTACCTACTTCGGTGTGCAATGTTAAGTAAGACTGGGTTGGACGAAGGCTGAATGTGGTCAGACGTACACATAACACAAGTCAGTGAAGTTTCCAAATGTCTGACTCAGGTCTTTGAGATAACAGGAACTAATGGTTGGGAACTTTCAGTGATATAAGTCCAAATGGCGCAAGCATAATCACCCTTTCATATCGTCTAATGCTTGAGTGTTTTTGCCAGACTCCTAATTCTACTTTTTCTTTGCATGCTGCTGGGAAGAGTGGGAACGACTTAGACCGATGCGCTTCTGTGCCAGATTCTATCTGAATTTTGCCAGTTTGTATGTAGGCAGTTAGTCAGTGGTTGAAAGCACCTGATTACACAGACGTTGACCTAATCATAGGAGAATTTTTGTTAGACCTAGAATATGCAGATGACATTGTCTTGTTAGGTGAAGACGCTGACAAGATGCAGAGTCTTCTGAACACTTTGAGTGGGAATTTGAGAATGTTTGGGATGCACTTCTCACCAAACAAATGCAAATTGCTGCTCCAGGATTGGTCTTCAACGGTGCCACGGCTAACAATAGAGAGTGAAGTGGTTGAGTGTGTTGACCACTTCACTTACCTGCGAAGTAGGACCAGCCCCGCCTCGTGGCTCAGTGGCCGATGAGATCTCTGCACGGATACAAAAGGTTCGATTGGCCTTCGCCAATTTATGCCACCTATGGCGCCGCCGTGATATTCGTTTGTCTATTAAGCGTGTACTGCATAGCAGTTAGGTCTGTTCTACTATATGGCTGTGAAACATGGCCATTGAAGGTGGAATACATGAGAAGGCTTTAAGTGTTTGATCACCATTGCCTTCGTAGAATAAACCGTATTTCGTGGTGTCACCATGTGAGTAAAGCATAAGTCAGGAGTAGAGTTTTAGGGAAGGAGAAGAGGTAAGTCAGTTGACGAGGTTGTGAACTTTCATCGACTGAGATGATTGGGACACTTGTTACGCATGCCCAGTTGGAGTCTGCCTTGTCACACAATGTTGGCTGAAGTAGGTCCAGGGTGGAAAAAGGCCCGAGGTGGCCAGACTAGAACATGGCACCAATGTATGAAGTCTCTGACTGTTGGTTTGAGCTATATGGGGAAATGCAGACTAAGTGGCCGGGGTCCACGGGACAAGAGGAACCAGTGGTTGGAAACTCTAGGTGATATGGCTAAAAACCGATGTCAGTGGCGCAGATGCATTTATACATTATCCTCATCTTAACGACGCTATACCGAATCTCACCAATTTGTCACTCTGCCTTCCTTTCTTCTCGTACTTTATATTTATTTTGACTAGATATTCTTTTCATCTTGCGCTTCACTGCTTTTCTACTTGATGTACTGGTATGAGGTGTGGCAACTCGGACCGTTACACAGTAATGCCTGGCCCTAGGTTGATCTGGGTAGATGATGAAAGCAGGAAGTTACATTCAGTCTTGGAGAGTTAGTGACTAATGTTATAGTGGCGATCCAGTTTATCTTGATGTCTGCTTGGTGGCTACCAAGTACGCGTATTTCATGTGAGTGGTTTTGTTCCTACTGGGACTCAGCTCAGTTTACGATACTTCATCAAAAACACACGAAGAATGGACACAGAAAAGGATGAAAATGTTTGAGGCTTCGAAGGTGACGAAGAGTGAATACATTTGTACCATTGTGATCGAAACTGTCCAACCTTACCAAACATTCCGTTTTTTATGGCTCCAATGACTTCAGTCAAGCGGCTGGGCTGACTCTACGGGTTGATGCCACATTCAAGTCGGACCATTATTAACTTTCTTCCAAACCACTCCTCTATTTCGGCTAAAATAGCTGAGAGATTAAGACCTTATCGGTTGACTTACTCTCACCTTACTTATCTACGCTGAATGAACCTCACAACACAACGTAATCAAATCAAATTACATGCAATTAATGCTAAGGAGATATCTAATAATCGAAATCCTACGACTAATTTATCATATCATCATCTACTTTTAAGAATTATGCCAAGGTACAGCGAGATTTTATGACCGCTAACCAGTGTCAAGATTCTGGTAGAATTTCCAGTAAGCAAAGTATGTGGGTACTCTTATCGAGCTTCGATAATAATCATTTACGACCGAAGGAAAACGCACATAACTTGTGTTTCCACTATGGAAAGTATGAATCATCATGGGACAATTGAACACAAGTGTTATGTGAAGAATTTACTACTCACACTTACCTGTTACTACTTCAGAAACAATTTCTTTTTCTTGAACCACTACAGGAGACGTTAGGCTAACCGTCAATGTTATAACAGGCCATACAGAGGGTTCTTTCTCTTGATTGGTAGTAGACTTTGAATTCATATCGGAAGGATCATTGATTCTGTTCAGTAAAGATGGATCAGGGCAGGATACCGAAACCGTGATTGTTCCCGTGGAGGGCTCTGGTGTGACAGTATATTCAAGACGGGATTCCAATGACTGAATTAAAAAATCAAGTCAACATTATTCAATCACAACCCAAGATCGATATCACCTTCAGGTTCATTAAAATATCTCATGTTCCATAAACCGTAAAACCCTTCTCCTCATATATATAATGTGTAATGAACCTGCAGGATATATCGACCAGGGTTTAACAAAACCTTCTCAGTTATATGTGGGAGAAAAAATCTGCCAATCATCAATTAGAGGAGAGTGGACCTGGCACTCATAATGGCATACCAACATCACCGATATATCATAATTATATATATATATATTCTGTTACACACACGCATCTCCGAACATCCAGTCTACAGTATTTTAGAAATACGGAAGTGTGCATCCAGACAAGTAAGCATAAACCCAAAACAACATTTTGAGTGCCAAATCCCTCGGCTCGATTTCGACGATGTGAAATGTAACAGTTGCATCACAATCGTATTGTAAACAAATAACTATTTATTATCAATTTATAAAGGCGATGTAGGACTTAGGATACTTCTTTTATCCACAAAGTTAGAGCTTGAATTAGTGGATTGTCAGCGATTTTGTCATGTAGTCTGAGATCTGATACTACTGTAATCCAACTCGCCAAATCTCATGTCAGCAGCACATCAATGTGAGACACTAAGATGAATAATACATATATAGGTTTGAAGGGTAGTAGGAAGTCGTAAAAAGAAAACAAGAAGGAATGTAACATCAATGAAATGTGGCACAATTAAGATGACATATGTATACCTTTCTGCACAATTGAGGTCGATTGTGGGTCACATTGCCTAGAGTCTTCAACGATCCCAATTTTGGCTTGCATTCCCTATATGACTGCTCAAACCAACAATCACAGACTTCATGGACTGATGTCACGGCCTATAGTGATCGGCCACTTCCAACCTACTTCCAGCTAATATTGTGCAACGATGCAGACGGTGAATAGATATGTGTAACACATTTTCCAGCCACTTCATCTGATGAAAGCCTAAAACACTAACTGACATCTTTTCTACCAAAACCTACCTCGCAGAAGGCTTCGTTACTAACGTGGAGGTAAACCACGACACATCCTCTATGCTAAGAAGGCAACGGTGACCGAACATTTGAAGTCTTCTCTATCGCATATGAGTTAATATAGGATACTCCTTTAATGGAGCTGTTGCTCATTGGTCTGAGCATTCGACTTCCAACCTAGCTCCACCTATACCGACATGGTAGTATCACTAGCCCTCAAACACAACAGGCAGCTAGCTTATTACCTACTGTACAAAGTTTCTGAGTGCATTTCGATGTTTTTCTCTTGACTCCTTTTGAGCTGTTTGAATCAACTTAATAGATAACTTTAAAAGAGGATTTTAACCGAGCTATGCGACTTGAATAGATTAGATGTCCACTTAAGCTTTCGCAAGCCATGCGAGATGTTTCGACAGACGTTTGGAGAGTGCACGCTTTATTGTAGACAGACCCAGTGACGACCCAAAGCAGCAGTAGATACCCACGAACCAACTGTCTATCAGAGAGGAAGTCGAAATCCAGAATTTTTTCTTATTCACATGGTTAAATGACTATTCATGATATCTGCTGCATTATTACCCTGAAAACCAACATTCATACGCAAAGTTCCCTCCTAAACTGAGGGAAATTTCTCAATGCTGCATGACTTTCATATTTTTCCTGTATCTGAATGGATGCCTATGATGAAATAGAACTTCAAGGAGAATCTAATCAATTCATTTTCTGTCTTCACTGTTTCATGCTTTTTCGCAACCCAATTATTCTTCACAACCAACAAATACGTCGAAGAAAGAATCTTCAGATTGCATTATCGTTATCATAGTGACTCAGTGACCTCGATATCCGGCATAAAATAAGACAAATGCATGTATGTCTAATACACAAACCCACTTATTTCATGTTGTCTGTTGACTCTCATTATAGAATGACGAATAGTAAAAGAGAAAAGAAGACTAACCTTCATGAAACTCGTTATACTACTTGATACGTAAGTTGTCAACTCTTCAGTAGGCCATTTTGAGCATACTAAGACAAGATCAGCTGTGTGTTCGCCCCTAAGCAGTAAATTCTTCCCCAATGGACCAACGCGTATAACACCAGAAAGTAGGCGTTCACCAACTTTTTCTTCTATTTCATCTACATTGGTACCACCAGTACCAGATTCATCGGTGATGGATGGATTTGATTCCAAGCGTATTTGTCTCAGTAGGCTGTTACTAACATCTTTCATAGCGCGCTCACAAACACTTACAGCCATCATCATTGCCTAAGGTTGAGAAAAATATGCATAAATATGTGATAAAATCTGAGTAATGTGTATCGAAGCCATTAAACAGACCTAAAACTAAACTGTCTACTATCCACACAATCTTAGTGAACAGAAAGACACTCAACAACCTTGTGTACATTCGTGTAGTAGTAGGCAATGAGCCACACATCTATTGTGTGTGAAGCCTATTATTTGGGGCTACCCGAGGTACCTGGGTAGGTGGAGTGGGTCTCGAGCCCGTGACCCATTTGGTTGGTCATCTTAAACACCCAAAATGAGTACAAACAAATAAGAGGAGGTACGTATTCACAGATTAAAAGGAAAAAAAAGAGTGTATAATATGCAAAACTAGGCAAATAATCAATTAATAATAATTAAATCAAATGTTACTGTGGTTAGTTAGCAAGTCAGTCAATAGAACTTACTTGGACTTCCAGAGCCGTCTGTAGTAAAGAGGCATGCTTGAAATTGATATATTTATTTTCATAAGATTTGTTAGGTGATTGTGCAGAGTAAATTTTGGCATTATGTGAAGCGAAGCGATCGACTGGTGGTAAATTACTCATACTGCCACCCATTGGTCCATTGTTACGCAAATTGTTAGTGTTCGCTTTCTGAAAGTGAAAAAATAATAACGTACGAAATAGCCTTGAAAAGGGTACGCTTAACAAAACAGTATCATTATCGAGGAATAGATGCTACAATGATTCGAGATGAAGGTGGGCAGCTGTGAAATCAAGCATAATTCTTTGAGGCAGATACTCCAACTGTCTCTCTACCCTACTACTTAACAATGCAGTAAATATTATGATAAGATATTTGTCTCTTGTTGATCAGACATCCTGTGTATACATTCGATGAATCAATAACCCTCTCTTCATCGGTGAAATTGGTTAAACATATACAGAATCACAAAAGAAGAGATTGAGCTAGCCAACCCATTTTGAAAACTTTGTTAACACAGTCCTGGCAGATAGCTGCTACTTTGATTTGGTGGTCCGGCTCGCACGTCACAATGAGCTATGCTGGTGGAACGCTTGCTGCCTCAAGGTCCGTTGGATAATGGTAAGACGAAAAGCAGTCACCGTTCTAGTGTAAACTGCTACATTATGTTCAGGTTCCAAGGGCGAGGTCAAACTGTTGCTAGCTGGATGAGGTGTGACGGCAGTTGGAAGTCTCACTTAGATGACCAGCAGTGCTACACTGACACTACTCCTAGAGGATGTCGACCACCCCACCCTCCAAAGTAACACACTTCTTCCTGCCGCACGATATCCCGGTGCCAGTGATATAGGTTCTCTCTGTCTGGCGTTAGAACAACCAAATCTCAAAACAACAATCCGCAAAAGGCTATGTGTGACAGGCCTCAAGCAGATGTCCCATGGGCCCTACGGTCACACAAATCTTTCTCTACCAGGTACCCTAAGCAAGAATAACCTTCCACAGTGTAGACAGCCAGGAAGTGTTGACCGCCCGCACGCTTCCAGTGATAACTGCGCAGAGTCAAACCTTCATACATCATGTGTCAGAGGACGTAAGAAAAACCTTACGAATTGGTGAATGGCAAATTTATTGCACTAATAGTTGGCTGGTTTTGAAGTCGAATCTTGGCGGGATGTTAGCGTAAAAAATAAGACCAGTGAAAACCACTTACTAGTACAACAATAATACCTTAGGTTAAATGCAGCGCTCATGCAAATAGTGCGCGCATTTTAAATTCGAAAAGAATTGTACTTCAGTATATTTGCTGCTTTCACATAGATCATCTGTATCCCCTTCTTGGTTTGCAATTTATTCTGCTAGAAGCTCTGCTGACTGAATCTCCGCTCTAATTGTTTTTCATAGCGATATTATAAGCTGGTTACTACTTACAGACATTTCTATAAGTAGTGCAAACTACAGCAGAAAATACCTATTAAACTAACCAGTGCATGTTATACTAAGTTTATATCAAATTGGAGATGTCGAATGAAAAAGTTGTAGTGTCAAGTTGCACTAAATTACAATGAAAGATGGGAGTAGGGAGGCGTTCTTCTAGAACAACCCTCCAGATGGCACTAATAACAAAGCCACTCACCATAACTTGTCTTCAGTTTCCCGTCATCCTTCCTATTCTACTGGCTGATTCTCTTTTATCGTCATGTTTAACAGTTCCATCACTTAGAGTGGTGCATTGTTATATTCAGAAAAGATTTGTCATATAAGCTGTACTGCATAACTTCAAGTGGATGACTATATAAGGAAAGCGTCAACAGAGTTAGAACCCGCGACTCATTGGTTTGAAGTCAGTTGGCTCAACCAATGAGCCATAACTCCCTGAATCATATCTACTACCAAATCGTCTAAACATAAGTGAAACGAGAGTCCGACTCATGAATACCTGATCGATAGTCAAAAATTCCAAAATCCGAGCCTCAAGGTTGACAACGTTGATTAGTCACTACAGTCACACTGACGACAAATCATAAATATGGAGTCAAGACAAAATATCTTGATATCACGTTGTGTCTCTAACATGAATTAGTTAAGAAAACCTACCAGTTCAGGGCGTTTACTTTTCTTCGACTTAGATGCTTTACGGTTAAGTTGGTTTGCTGGTTTAGGGTCCACAATGAACGAAGGATCTACTTTCTTCTTGTACTGTGTACGATGACGACGACCACGTATGTGGGATTCTCGTGCATCTGCATTTGAGAAATCACATTCGCATAGTTTACAGCGAAAAGAAACAGTTTTGCCGTTTGCACCAATCACCTAATAAAGTAGAGAAAAATTTGTTACAAATTGGATTATAAGCAGCATGAAACTCATTTCTTCTACCAATCTTTGCTTAATGAGTACATAATTACCACTGTTATAATTAGGAGCATAACCTTTGAAAATACTTGAAGTAACCTATGGATTTGCGACACAAAAACATGAAGTGCAGTGCAAACTTTCAGAATTACGGTTGGCTGAACAAGTCAGTGGATCACGATATAGTCTGCTAGGGAAATAATATTCAGACTGTTGAGAAAATTAGGCATTATCTCAGTTTACCATATCGATGAGAGCAGAGAGAAAACCCCAGTACCTCCTTAGGTCAAAATATCAAACATCGATGATTTACTACTCAAAATAAAAGCGATATCGAATGAAAACCATGTAGGTGATTTTCACTTTTGCACTTTCAGTACACGCGGCTATGGAACTGTTATTCGCTAGTTTCCTGGTCTCCAGTCGATGTATGATCAAATTAGTAATGTGTCAGAAAAAAGGATAAGTTCCATAATGAGTCAAAATAAAGTCCTCTGTTGTCATCCATGATGTCGACTGGCAAGATATCCAACTAACCGTGAGAAGGACGAGAATACTGCTGTGCAGTTCATTGTCCTGTTGTACCACTGCGATATGAAGCGGTTACAAATTTTTTGATCACAGCTGTTTTCGTAGCGCCATTCGTGTATCGTGAAATCACTATGTGAGTAATGTTGCGGTCAAGCGAAGGGTACTAGGTAAGTCAGTCGATGAAGTTGTGAACCTTCATTTACGGTGACCCGGACACGGTAATAAGCATGCCAAGCCACTTCCCACTTCGATATACAATGCTAGGCGAAGTTGTATAAGGTTGATCAGACTCAGAGGCAGAACCAGCAAATAAAGTCCCTGACTGTTCATCTGGACTGTATAAACAGGTGTAGACTACTTGGCTGAGGTCTCCGAGACGACTCTTGGCGAGCTGGCTAGAAATCGATCACAATGGCATAGAGGTACTTACTTTTTGACGCCTTCTAGATCTTGAATATTCGCACCAACCTTTATCTTCAAATCGTTTATCCACACACACAACTCTGTCCACTTTTATGAGTCTTTTTCTAGCCACCCGTTCTTTGTATACTCCTGTGAAATGTGGCAGCCTGGGCTTGCTTGAGAGGTTCTCCGTTGATTATATCTGTCTGTCCGTTGTAAATATGCGTGGAAAAGTTCAACTACCTAAAGCTAAATTGATCTTAGTGACTAGCAGAGGAAACCAAGACGTGTGCTTCGTCCTATTTGGGACTTGTCAGCTGGGTGTACCTGCCTCCCCCAATAGGTGATGTTATTTCCATTGAAGCTTGAACCTAGTACCCTTAGCTTCAAATGCTAGAGCGTTATCCACTAAGACAGTGGGGCACTATAACCACCTCTTGTACAACGGGTATCAATAGCTAACGCTAACACTATTAGTAGACAGTGGGAATTTGGAATTCCCATACGGTTTTGACCAGTTAGCCTTTAGCTGTGTCCGTAACAGCTTCTCTATTTCTCCTCGTCCAGTGAAGACAGCGAAGTCAAGTAGACCACACCTATGTACTGAACGATTTGAGGAATGAATAAAAACAATTTTGAGTTGGAGGGTAAATCAGGCCTGGATATCTACAAAACTTCACCAAATATATTCTATATTCACACTCACTGCTTCTATATACTCTTGACCGACAGCTGGATGCTCAGGACCGGCAAGCTGTTTCAGATCAACATGTTTCATTGGCTTGTTTGATCCGGTATCCGTTTCATTTCCACTCGCTTCATCTATGAACAATTAAATAGGTGTATTTTCTCAGAATGAAAATGAAACCAGACATGCTACAAACAGGCTGAAATAAAAAACTCATATGTTTAGCAAACACTAGAAGAAAGAATGTCAGGATACAATTTATTACTGTAACACACGTGTGGAAAAAAGTAAGATGGTCAGGGTGTACAAGGAAATACACTCCCATGAGAGTAACGAACAATGAGTTACACGTATTGTATGTGAGGATTAGTGATACTACTACCTGGCTGTCAAAACCTCGGTAGATGTAGTCAGGCTCGAACCTCTAGCCCATCGGTTGAAACTCGACTCCCAAAAGGAATGAGCCACAACCCCACGAGAGTAACGAGAGCTGTGGGTTAGAGAGATGACTACTAGTCAGTGAGTCATGGGATCAAACGCTGTCCCATCTACTGACGTTTGGGGAGTGAGAGAGTATCACTTACCCACTGAGTCGAAAAATTCAACACCAGAATACAGTACACCAGTGTAGCGTAGTGACTACACTGTGAGCCTGATCGATAGACTTCGCTTACAGTTGCGCGCTAATGACCAGATAGGTAAATCAGTTAAGCACTGGTATAGCTGAGTTTTGCTTACTTGTTTAATGGGGTACGCCAGCAGTGAGATCATCGTAGGAAGGATGTCCTCGATGACTCAATTCCTAGGGGGAAAACGTCATGTCATTTATCGCTTGCAAGTTTGGTGAGTGTTCTGTTGCGCTTCTAGGAAGCAGGCAGCTTATCCATGAAAATGATTAGCTGTTGTAATCAACGTCTAAAACTTATCTAATCAATAAGAACAGTAATTGCCTTACTTCAGTACCAAGAAATTTATCCCAAAATCAGAATAAATGGGAACGAAGATATTTAAGATTACGTAAAAAAAACACCACAAAAAGATTGCGCAGTAACTTCCGTTGAATTCCACTCCAGAGGATGAATGGATAACGCACTCGTCTTGAGACCTGAAGGTCTGTAGTTCGACTGCTAGCCGAGTCGCGAGTGACTACTGTTGAGGAGTCACACACTTGGACGAAACAGTCTTCTAGTGCTCCCAGGTTTTCAATGGCTGTCCAACTGTCAGTCGGTGATGGATACCAACTTAAACAGAAAACCCCCCATTAACCTCTATATAAGTTTTGTCGTGTAACGGTAGACTAATAAATATAGGGAAAAATCAACTTGATAAAAATTACCAGTTTTCTCAACTGCAGGAAGTATCATATCTGCTACAGCTGCGGGTACAAGAGGATCATCGGTTTCTGGAACCGGTTTACCTAATTCCTTGTGTAACTTCAATGTACGCTGATGTTGCCTGCCAGATATATGAGCAGTATAAGAGTCGACACCGGTACAACCAACATCACAGAGCTCACAACGCAGTTCTCGTGAGGATGAAGAATTGACAACTACTAAAGACGAATTGCTATCAGTAGATATTTCTTTTTTTAACTTTTCAACAGCTTCAACCTACAAAAATACACAAATGATAAAAGGGGATAATACACACTAGGACAACTTTACATGAATTAGGTATACTAGTCCTATCAAAAATCAACAGTATGGCTAATCTGTAGAAAATATAAATTGCAGTAACTAACATTGTTGAAACACAGAGACACGTAATGGTAGCAATACAATCTGGTTCTTTTGTTGAACAAAACATAACTTAAGCATATACACTCTTCATTGGCTACAATTAGGCTGATAAAGATGGACTGTCACCCTTGGACTTAGCACGGTTTGACCCCCTGTTAGGAAATCTCATTGATGAAATGAACGAAGATTGACAACAGTCATAAGTTTGAAGCACTGGCAAACATATGATAATCTACGCATGTTAGTCATTCTTTACCAGTCTGTACGTACACTTAATTTGTGTACAGGAAGGTTTGATATGTTTGACAACCAACTGTATTCGCGGAAATCCATCCGCTTCGATGGACTAATCTCCAGAGTGAATAGACTATTCTGACGTTTGCCAGTCCACGTCACTGGAGACATATTCAACTGGCCACTAAGAAAGAATCATATCCAATAGCAGTCTTTCAGTGATGATAAACATGTAGCTGCATCTATTTTAACTAAGTGTGTCTTCAAAATACCAGTTGAATGTATTAATACGATTAGGTGAGAAATACTGATGGGGTGCGATCAATAAGGTCAAACGATGGTAAGGCTATGTCCAACGTATAATTCGCCCAATGATTAGCCCAGAATGAACAAGGCTAAGGGGAAAACAGACGGAAACGCAACATCCCATGGAGAAACCAATAGTGTATTCAACAAATGTGGACCTTTTGGAAAGGTACGCTTTAGAGATTTTACGAACAAGTGATAGGAGCGAAACCATAAAAAACTAATAACAATGCTGTATTCACTCTGTCTTTCTGCATATCCTTAACATCTTTTTCGAAATTACTTCTCTCCCATTCATGTTTTTTGTTTGTCCTGATTCCCTTTCGTCATAATATCGAAGAATGACAACTGAAACGACGTTGTCTGACAGGGAAAGGTAGACAAGCCTACAACACCCGTACAAAAGTCTAGCGATCTAAGTCGTCAACATCTCATCCAGTAAAACAAATCACTAGATTCGATTCTCAACTTCACTGATTGATTCCTCGCTATTGAGCGCTATCATCTTGAAGATCCTATCGTGATTGAAGTTCGTAGCTCCTGGATAGATAGAGGTGACATCAACACGGAGTCCGGCATCAATCAAAGTTACCGCACTCCATATTAGCACATCAGTCGAGAACCCATCAAGATGAAAGATACATAACTGGGAAAGTGGGAGAGACTATATACAATATGAAAATAAAGCTTGACGATTAGGATGAAGATAATAGGTGGATGCAGCTGCGTTCCTGAGATCGATCCTGCACCTTAGTGCCAAACATTAATTTCAATTGCTACACGAATCGCCGTCATCGGGAACTCAATAGTTACTTAGACTGCTCAAATTAAGTCTGACCACCTCTAACCTTTCCCTATCCTCAAACCTACTTCACAAATAACAATGCATAGCGGGATAGGCAATGACAGGGCATGAGAAACAAACCTCTATCCAAGTGGAGTGATGTATACACTAGAGAAGTAGGAAGCCTACCAGCCAACTTTCAAAACAACCATGCTCAATATGGCAAGACAGTAGTTTTATCACATGATACATTAGGGAGGAAATCAGTAAATTTGAGGTGTACCTACCTGTGACAACCGTTTTTTATGACGTTGACCATTTTCATGATCTTTGAAGGCAAGTGGACCTGCACAACTAACTTTGCAAACTTCACAATAGAAAACTCGCGATTCCTTTGGAGCGGTAGAGTTGGGAGGATTTCGAAAACCTGTGAATAAAACATGAAAAAGCGTTAATCCCAAGATTAATGAGCTACACACATACTACCGCAGTGTATGTAGACAAAAGGGTATTGCAGTGTCTTAAACTCGTCTAGCCTACAAACAACACTAACTTAATTAGGGTCAATGTATTCGAAGATGTGGTTGTATGATACTGAATTGAAATGTAATCATCAGCCTTGTGCATAAACGAAGCACACTCAGTCACCTTGGGCCCATCCGTGCACAACTGACCTCGTAGCTCAGTTGGTAGAGCATCGGCCTGGAAACCTGGTGGTTGCTGGTTAGGATCTGACTGTGGTCGATATTTTCACTTCACCTTCAATCATCACCCAGTATCAATACCAGCCCGCCAAACCACGGCTATCTCAGTCAAAAATAATAGGTGGTTATGTTTTAAGAAGTGAGAAGCAGTGTTTTTCTTTTCTGGTCATTATTTTTTTGACTTTAAACACATTTGGTGAGAACTAAAAGAACCGAACAACAATGCTGTGCAATGAAGAACAAATTTCAATCTTCACTAAGCTAAATTAAATTCAGTGAAGAAAAATTCTGCCGACTGTCTTACTATTGCTATGTGTGATCTCTTACCTCCTCTGTTCCCCTTCAGAGGGCCCGAAGGTTTAGGACGCCCACGATTTTGAAAAGCAGTGTTTTCAGTATTCCTGTTGTAACGAACTGGGGAACCTGTGTATACTGACTGAGATACCGGGTTCAGTAGAGTTTTGTTGTAAATATCGGTGTAGAAGCTATTGGCTGAAGAATTCAAAGACATCCAACTGGGTATTTCCTGAGGAACACGAAGATTAAATTGATTTTGATAATCAAATGAGACACTGGTATTTTCTGTGCCATCGGATGCCATTGGAGATCGTTCCATAAAATTAACACACGATCCGTCTGAGGAAGGTAATACACCAGGTTTCGCATAGCACTGGGAACTTGGGTAGAGCGAATACCCGCCATCATTTCGAAAGGAAGGAGGCGCGGACTGAAAATCCTGGGGTGGTGTTTCAAGACTACACGGTCTAGAGCCAGGTCTTTGAACAGTATTTCCTAAAGTTAGGGAGAAAAAGAAAGCTTAACAGACAAGTAACAGGACATCAGAAAAGCATAGTTTGGCATATCACAGTAATTGATCGCACTGGAAAAACAAGACTTTTCAGGATTTTACAATAGCATATTGCACTGAAAATACTCTATGAATAGAGAAAAACGCCTTAATCCTTGGAAGTTACTAATGGCCGCCAGCGCAAGTGTTTTGAAACAATTAGTCGCTTTGATAGATTTAATCTCCGAACCACACCATCTAAATATAAGTGTATAAACAATATACCTTGTCATATTCGTCAACATAATCAGCTAATCTATAAAATTTAAACCATGTACTTATTAACACAATGGATCAGTGTTCTGCCTTCCGTTGATCATAGAAAGCTATTTTTAGGCGTAATATGGCTAGTAGCGCAAAATGGTAGTGACCGAAAGTCCACACGAAGTGCAAGCCACCAAGCTTAAAACAGATTGGTGAATTCATACCATACGAGAAGCCCAACGTCTGACTTTGCAATGCGCTCGCAGTACACATGCTAACAAACACAAGGTATTATCAAGTTAACTAGTTCGGACCTTTATTTTCCATAGCAGTTCAGTGTGACAGAACACAAAGCTGTGCAGTAAGATACAGAACTCAGCAACAATGTACTCGCTGAAGTTCCAGGCTACAGACCATATCTTGCAGGTGTGAACTTGTGATATGTCTACTAAATCATAGTAGTGGCTGGTGTGCAACAGTCTGACGATAGAGAGTGAAATGGTGAAATATGTCGATCATTTCACTTACTTGGGGAGTCGCTTAAGCTCGAATGGATTGGTTCCTGAGGAAATTGCAGTTAGCATATACAAGGCTCCTTTGACATTTGCCAACTTGAGTCATTTCTGGTGCCAAATGGTGAGATATTCGACTATCTATCAAACGAAGAGCAATCTGCCCTGCAGTTCTTTTTGTCGTGCTACACAGCTTGAGATGGCCGTTAAAGTACGAGACAGGAAACGGTTACATGGTTTTGATCATAGGTATCTTTGTAGCATCGCTCGCGCTTGGTGGGATTATTTTGTGGGCAATGTTTGGGTCAGGCGTAGGGAACCAGGCAAGACAGACTAGTCCATTGATGAGGTTGTGAACCCTCACCAGCTGAGACTGCTTGGACATGCACTTAAGATGCCAAGCCACCGCCTAACTCAACGTGAAAGTTCGTCTAGGTTGAAAAAAAGTTCAGGGTGTCCAGACCGAGACTTGACACCAGTCGATGTCCCTGACCGTTGGTCTGAGCCCTGTGGGAAGATGTAGACTGTCTGGCTGGGGTCCTTGATACGAAACGAATCATCGATCGAGAACTCTTGGTGAAATGGCTGGAAATTAATCACAATGGAGCCGATGTATTCACTCCTTGACATCTAAAGCTTGGATATTCACACTAACCGTTATCTTCAAATTGTTTGTCCTCTTATACTACTACTTTGTTCATTCTGATATCACTCTTATTGTATCCACCTATTCTTTGCATAATACTGTGAAGTCTGGCAACTTAGACAGAGACACCACTGTGCAAGGCTCTACGTTGATTTCGTCTGTCATTTGTGATATAAATGAAACTAAGATCCTATCAAAAGTCAGGTCTTGTGGATCAGTTGGTAGAGTACCAGACCAGTTATAAGAAAGCCGCCGGTTTAACTCCTACCACAAACTGGATTTCCATTTCACCAATCATCACTCAACATAGAAAATTACATGCACAAACGCATAAACTGCAGGTTTAGCATTGCGCTAAACATTCACTAGTTTGTGGTTAGAAATTGTGTATCTCGATGTCACAGGTGAGGTTGAAAATACCCGTCTGGGCTTTCATGAGCTTGTTCATCGTGGCTGAGTTAAATGGTCTCTATGCTAAACCAGGTTGTGTGAATCAAATCTAATGTGTCACTCACGCTTTGGTACATAATATTCGGTATATTAACTTTAACTACCCTTCTAGAAGACTAAGTCATCCTGTTTTTTTACACTTCTAATCACAAACTTAGGACATAATTAGCACCAGGAGATACGTCGCACGAATATATGGCAAGAGTAAGACAAAATGATGTAGGAAGGTTAAAGAAATAGAAACGGGTTAGTAGAGAAGCGCTCATGAACACACGTGCAGATAGGTCCTCACTACCATCGTTCTACTTTTAAATAATAGAAGAAACAAGAAAATAGCATGATTGCCACTGATCTATGTGGTCTCGGATTCCATCCAGGGAGTCGTAAGCCACCAACAGATGCTAGCCAAACGTAACTACTCTTCACCCGAATGACACCAATGTTTAGAAATAAGATTATGTTCTATAAAATCTACTGTATTACCTCCATTGAAAGAGACACTGCTTACCCATAACTAGGCCATTCAACCCGCATCATATTACGAAATGATTTACTGATACCTAGATCGCTTTCAGTGGTGTAATACTGAATGCTGCATAATTATCGCATACGCCTGTCCATTTTTTGTGTCCGGTAACAATTTACTATATTGACGATCATGGATGACTGAGACAAGGAATCAATTGGCATGAACAATGGTCATTTCACGGTACATAATACGTGAGTGAACACGGTCCATTGCCTGTAATTCTCTGGTCATATACAGTTATATGTTGAAATGAAAACGAAATCTCTATTTTCATTGATAGAAAATGTACTTATCAACAAGTCTAAGACCATATAGCTGATCCTAAAGGTTTCTCAAAGGGACTTCAACTACAACTTATGTGACGAGGACGATGAATAAACCACAGTAAACAAAATTAAACTTACCAAATGAAGTGTTCATTTCTCCCGTATAAAATGCGGATGCTTGGATACCATATTGATGACCAAACTGATTCATAATAAACTGTAAAGAAGAATTCCATCAACAAAATATATCCGTAGGAAATAAAAAGTAACCTTTAATTAATATGCAAACAAAACCACCCAAGTATGAAATGGTAAACATGTTCCAAACACTACTTAAAGCAAAGTGCGACGCATATTTATAAGCCCTTTCTAAATCTCTAATATCAACAGCTTCAAGCTTACTTGAGTGTGAGACCTGGCACTACTGCGTAACCATATAACTTGCCACACTTCATATCAGTACTTAAAAACAAAAGATCTGGAAATCAAGAAGCGGAGCAATTCACGCATGCCTACGCAGCTTAGAGAACAATCGGAGAATCCAGGTGCTATCACATCCAATATTGACAGTGGGAGCGTAGAAAACTGATAGATCTGATCTCTCGTGCTTAGTTCTCAGGGCTTGATTCGAGTCGTTCGGTTCACTCCTGCAGTGGGCGAGGATATCCCCTCGGTGAGGTGGATGTTTCGTAGGTCAGTAAGTTGTAATCTATAAGTCGGGGAGCTACGGGTTGCTGGGAAGGTTAGGGGACTATCATGCCTGTGTAGGCACCTGAAAGAGAATAGTAAAGCAATGGTAAAGAATGAAAGGAGAGAAAAGAAGAGGAGAGGGTGAAGAAGAGAAATGCAAGCAAGAAAAGCATGTGGGAATTGCGCGAATGGTAAAAATAGGCAGCGTAGGTCTATTTCCTAGAAAAGAACTAGGTAATGTGGGTGTACTAAGGAGCAAGACAGTGAGTGGTGAGCAGGAGGGAGGTGAGGGTGGGCTAGTGAGGTTGGTGGCTACCTGAGCACGTCCGTGGTAGATCACGCGAGGTGACAACTGTCTAACCGTCTCTTGAATGAGTCGACTGAGGGAGCTATAACGATATGTCGCGGTAAGGCATTCCATACTCTCGGGGAGAAAAACTTGGACCTGAGTATGCTGTTGGCTCTCTGGTGTGTTATCTTAATGGGGTTTCCTCGTGGAGATCGTTGAGTTGCAGGCGAAATTGATGTTTGCATGGTCTGACTGATGGGCGATCTTGTATGCCATAATAAGGTCACCCCTTTTCCTGCGATAACCCAAGGCAAATAGGTTTAGGTGTTCAAGTCTTTCAGGACATGTCTTGCCCCTCAGCTCCACAGCAGATTTTGTTGCAGTTCTTTGTATTTTTTCAAGGAGATTAGAATCTCTCTTGAGTGTTGGAGGAGCCACCGTATTGAAGACCTCTAGATGCGGCCGCACGTATGATTTTAAAATGGTGAGGAAGAGTTCGGGAGTGAGGGCGCCAAGTTGTCTACGCAAAAGGTGTAGGATGGCATTCGCCCTGGTTGTCATATTTTTGCAGTTGGTGCTAGTGTCCGAGGTGTCGGAGAAGTCCAGCCCCAGTTCTCCGTGGACACTCTGGTGATAATACGGTTGCTCAACATTTACTGGAAGTCGGTCGTACTTGCTTCATATTTACTGATGTGTATTACTTTGCACTTTTCCAGGTTGAAGCTCAAGCCATTTTCCGACGACCAGGGTTACGGTTTTCGAGAAAACAAAGCCTTGCACTTTCTAAGCTGAAGCTAAAGTCATCTACAATTGTTTTAGACTCCAAGTATAATAAATCACTCAAAAAGACTGGCACACTAATACCTATTTTGCAGACACAATGTTTAGAAACACTTACATCAAGAAAGACCTAAGAGACCGCGGAACCATTTATGGCCTGTTGTCCGTTAACAGATTTATAACAAACTGCTCGAAGTTCAATGTCGAGTAAACAGAAAAGTCACACTGCGGTTCAATTAAGACGGCTGGTAAAAGTGTGTGATGGGCTTTTGCGTGACCAGTCGGTGTCTGTAGATGCAGTGGATGTCAAAATCAACCATGTGAGTTAAGGAAATCGGTAGTTTTTAAACTTTCGCTTCTTGTTCTAGAAGCAAGGTTCCTTTTCGAATATCCATCATAATTTTACTGGCTTGTATAGACTAGACGGTTTATTTTCGCTCGCTTCCAGTTTTTGTGGACCGGGTCTAGGTCTTCGTTGGATTTCGGTACCGTTACCGCACCCCCTAGCCTGCTGTAAACCCAGTGGAGAGTTAAGTGCTGAATAAATTTCTATGGGGATTGTACGAATCGTTCCATAAATGTGAGGCTGGTGCATATCTCAGACTTCGCGTCACCGGAGCGTTGCTCGGACTGGTTGTAAAAAGAAGACATGAAGGATGGGATGCAGATCAGTGAAAACGAAGGAGAGGAAGTGAGGAGAAACAAGTTTAAAAGAAGCACAGCAAAATGAATGTAGGGGCCTCAATAGATTTAGAGAAGGCGGACAAGAGAACTGTGATGGTGGAGACCTTAGTCGAGAGGGTGAAATTCCAGAGTCAGTGGGGGGAGAAAGAACGGGTAAGATCATATGAAGGATAATGGGAATGGAAATAGGAATATCGTTAGTGGGGTTATGGTGACCAGAAGTGAGACGTCTTACAGGGGAGTATAAGGTTGAGTCGATTATGATAATAATGCTGGTATAGAGGAGGTGACATGGAGTAGCTGTGTTGAAATGATGATGAATCACTTGGTTGTTTTGGCCTGGCCCGTCCCCCAGCTGGATGAGAGCAAGCGTTGGCATTGCTGTCCAAACTCTTCTTGAAGGCATCGACAGACGGAGCAGTGGCAGTCCTTGCAGGTAACGCGTTTCAGTAGCCGCAGACTCTGAGAGTGAAAGAGTGTGAACACCCATGAGTTTTCGCTTGATGGCGGGCGATTATCTCCGGCTTGCCACGAGAATTGCCATGGTGACTGCTCGGTAGAATCCCACCTCTCAGGCAATTTGGATTACTTAGTATCTCCTAGGCTGTTATCAACTCACCACGTTACCTTCGGCTGCCAAGGTAGTAGTGGCTTGGATTATCCAGTCCATCCCAGCAGTTTCTGCCACATCCCATTGGCACCCTTTACAACTCTAGGAGGTCCACGTGTCTTTCAGGTGTGGTAGTGCAACGACGTTGTGGACCTCAAAGCGAGTTCGTGTAAAGGTCTGTTAGGGCTTCAGAAACAGTTTCAGGGTGAGGAAACCTAGTTCGCTGCGCATCAAGTGTAACAATAAGTAGGCTCTGAAGGTGTCCACCGCATAACTGTGTCTAGCTTATTAGTCAGTATTAGTCCCAGGATGTTCCCCGTGGTCATGTGCAAAGAAGGCACGTATATAGAGCTCCAATAAACTTGATATGAGTTTCTATCTTCCCTAAGCCTTGTGTTCCCTTTGGATTTCTATTCCCAAAATGTAATTGTCCAAGTTTACCCGCTTCACTCGCCCACTAGGGTGCTTGAAGCAAACGCCGTATGCTAATGTCACTACCTTCTTGCATGCTATGTTCTGATCGCCTGAAATAAATCAGGTCTGGCGTTGTCCGCAAACACCGGGTCCGACACCTACCATAAAGAGAGAGAAGGTCACTCTCAACGAGTTGGAGGTACAGAAAGGCGTAGTTCAGCATTTATCCACGTTAGTTGCCAGTCCGTTTTCATTTACCCACTCTCCAGGCAAACCAAGACCATCTTATGGTACGCTCCATCAACTTCCGGATGACACACCCCTCCATAACTTAACGTCGTCAGTGTTGCATAGTACCATGGAGCCGCGATTAATTGTGAAGTGAAAGAAGAAACCCCAGTGGACCCAGAATCGCGCCTAATGATACACCGGATGATGCCATCCAAGTAGAGCGAGCCCTGTTCACCTTTGTGCGGAATTTTCCGCCGTCCAAGTAGTCCTAAGAGCAGGATGATACCTGACCGTTGGTACTCACCATTACTATTTCGCGTGTGAGGGTGGCACATGAGAGTTTGTCAAGGGCTTTCGTGGAATCCAGGAGGATCAGATGAGCACAAAACTCGAGGCCCTAGCATGCTGTTCATTTGCCACGGACTGACAGAAGTTTCGATGCACAGAGCCTATTCTCTCAGAAGCCATTCTGAGCATCACTTGGTACCCCACTTTTATCCAAGTATTTCCCAGCAGGGTCGTCCATCAGGCTTCTCACTACTAGGAGAAGCGCTACGGTTCGATAACACTCCGGGTTCTACCCTTCCCCTCTTCTGAATAAGGGAGAAAGAATACCATGCTTCCACTCCCGTGGAAACACGTGCTTATTTAAGAAGAGTTGAAATGCATTACAGGGCGGACCACATAGGGCACTCGCAGACTGTTTCAACAGACGGCCGAATGTCATCTCATCCGACGATTTTCCTACGAGAGGCTCTGACAGATTTTCGAGGACCATGACAGGGGTCCTTTAGCCCGCGTTACCCTTCTACGTTGGTAACGTTGATAGTTGTTCGGGCAGTTAGCAATTTTGGTTGGATGGAGGAGTGCTTAGTTTTGCGTTGAAGGCTGAACTAAAAGTTTTGAAAATCTTTAGCCCAGAAAGCCTCTCTGCACGGCCAAAGCTCTCTGTTCAGCAGACTCTATCTGTGTAACGAACCAGCATGGGCTCGTGGGGCTCACTACAGGCTTCTAGGCCAGGCTTGTCTGCAGTGGCCGCCTGTCCCACTGCACCTTGATGTGGCATCGATGCCCTATAGTCATATATGGGCTATGATGTGACTCTTTCTGGAGGTCTCCCACTCATGCTATGTTTTACCCTTGGCTTTCAGGAGACGCTGAGTGATGAGGCCTGCTTCTTAGGCATTGTCGCCACTGGTGGGACACTCCCGGAAATCGTCCTCCCAATGATGTCGCAGTGGTTGTCGGTCGATACAAAGTTTTTCCCCTGATGCTGTGATGCTGCCGACAGATATTAGTTTACTGCCACGTAGTTAACTCTGTGTAACAACGATAAGGACAAGATCCCTCTCACGATTATTTTTCCACTGATTATTAGGTCAAACACTGCCATAACATTATCACTGCTGCCAGGAGGAGTTGTAACCTTGACATTTTCTGCCAACAGATTGTCGTCAGTAAGAAATCACTCCCGTCCGAATGCTTCCCCGGCCGACCCTCAGCTAGTGTCATCTCTGATTTTTTACGCGGTCCAGTCATTTTGATTGTGTTGACTGGGTTCCAGTCGGAAGTCCGGCTTGAAGTTGCACTGTCCCGTTCAAGGTCGATTGCTGAAGCATTGAAATTCCCGGCTTTGAGGACCTGGCCATACTTCATTGCCGTCACTGCGGGTATTAGTTGAAGGGGCTCTCGGCTCTGTTCCACGCCACTCGTTGAGGTTTCACAGGACCTTCTACCGGGTACCTGGTGTCCCCAACCATGAGGTGGCGCCAGACCGAGCCTAAGAGCTGTGATAGCGCAGTTTCGGTAGCTCGTTCACTTTAAAAGTGATCACGGATAAACATAGCCGCTCTGTCTCCCTTTTTGTGCTTCCCGGACAGAAGCTTGCCATCTATGCTTGCTCCAAAGTCCCTGATATCCTGCGATAATCAAGTTTCGGTCACGACTACAATTTTGGAAACATTGTAGTGACAAGAAGATGGCAGTTGTGCTGCCTTATTTTTAAGTCATCTGCAATGACTCTTGGAGTTGCTTCTCATAACATGGGCTGTTTTAGTAGTGGCTAACCGTAGAAGATTGTGTGAAGTGGCAGAGGTTGCTGCTACCAGCCGGACCCATTGGAACCCAATTTCCCCCCAGTGGGCCCCTGAGTTATTACTGGGCCAGGGTCTCCAGTTTGGTTGTTGTCATCTTTATTCACGGTAATGGCTACCTCGGCAAGAAGAGGAACTATCGTTTCATGTTACTACAGTGCATCGGGTCCGCTTTCACAGCACCGAACGTTCACACCTTTGATGTCCTTGGCTGCGCGCCGCCTCTGTTGACCTCTGGTAAAGAGCTGTGGGCACCCGAAGTTAATAATCATCAATCTAAGAGGTGCCTGCCAATAACTGCCCCAGGTATTTCAACAAACCCCATCCTCACTGATAACCACTGCCATTGGTGAATATTGTGGGCATAACTATCGCCACCTGTCTGGCCTAGCCCGAATGCTGGATGACCAGTTAGTGGTCAGGGTGTGTGGAAGTGAGAGAAATCTTTTAAAATAGTGGTCATCTTTATGGGTGGGGGCTCACTCGGGGGTGAGTGGCTGCTCTTTTTGAGCAGCCAAGCTTCCTCTTTTTCGTCTGTTACTTTGTCCTAGTGTACAGCATGCAGCTTCCCATCGCCGTCCGTAAAACGACCCCCTTTGATCTAGACGACTGCCATAATACACAGGAACTTTGAGTAAGATGCTGAAGTCTAACGTGCGATCAACATTCCTGCCATCGTGAGATGTGGGTGAGTTTTCATGGACTGATGGTGCCTCCTTTTCCACTCGTATCCATTTTTCACGATCTACCGAGGGGTAGTCATTGGAGCAAATTAAGGGTTTGAGGCCGACGAGGTCGGCCTTTAGGCTGACACTCGTTTGGCCATTTTTGTACTGCTGGGAGGTATGACTGTCCGCGGGGCTCCATCGCCTCTCTTCGTTTTCGGTCTTTCCTTTCGACCGGTTTTTGTGGATCCTGGCGTCTGAGTAACCTCCTCAAGTGGACAGGTAACCAGGAATAGTTTCATGGAGCACTGTGGGAGGGTGAGCCAGAATCGCCTGCATGGGCGGTGCGCCATGAAAGTGTGATGCCGACCTCGTACATGTTTATCACATCGTCAACGTACCCACCTGTTAGAAATGTTACAATCGTAAGCTGCGTCTCTTGTTGCTACAGTGAGGCCACATATGCTCCAATCGTC